TGCACTTAATATAAACTAATAGTGGTTGTACTATCCCTTTAAACCTATTCTATACTATCCACTCTGTACCTGGTCTGTAGTGAGTTCCACTCACCATATCTTCAACTTTAACCTTTCCTATTTGTCTAGTGAGTTGTTGTATGAAAGTTTCCTTGGAGACATTCGTCCTATAGTTTTTATATGCAAAGGAAGACACTTTTCCTCTCCTTAGTTATATAAAGGTTGTTAACTGGTATTGCGTATTTATTAGTATACAAGTGTTGCTAGATGTAAATATTGAAGCTTCTTCAATAGTGGTTTGACAGTTTATTTATCAGGTATGTTTATAATTATATCTATGGAATTAGTCTTTGTTTTAAAGTGGCAGCCATGTTGAATTTCTTTAAAGTATAAGTTGATAGTTTGAAATGGGGAAAGATTACATCTTTATATAGTTAAAACATTATTTAAAGTATTTCACTTTAGATATACACTTACAGTCATTTACATCACATTTATATTTCATTTACAGTGTTCCAACGTTTAAAGGTATTTCACCTTTATACCAATTGGTAGTAATTATAAAACCCCTCTTTAGGGTAAGCAATATTAGTTTTATTCTCAAGATCTAATTATTAGTATTAATTAGTATTATTATTATTTACGCTGCGATAATAAGTATATTTCATACTTTTACGAGTATATCTGTATTTCATAGTTTAAGTCACTTAAGAGAAGAGTTAATGTGGAGGAGCTGAGGAGATTTCTTGGGTTTGTAGGATACTACAGGCGTTTTGTGAAAGATTTTTCAACTATAGCCAAACCCTTGAATGATCTGCTGATAGGAGTTGGAGGACCAACTAAGAAAAAAAGGGGAAGAAAGGTGCAGAACAAGAACTCTGTGAGAGAATGGGCTTGGAAGCAACAACAAGAAGAAGCCTTTGTGAAACTGAAATGTTGCCTAGTAAATCCACCCATACTAGGATATGCAGATTTTACCAAACCATTTACAGTGCACACTGATGCTAGTGGGCAAGGATTAGGCGCTGTGCTTTATCAGGAACAGGACGATAAGCAACGAGTCATCTGTTATGCCAGTAGAGGACTATCTAAAGCCGAGAGGAACTATCCTGCGCATAAACTGGAGTTTTTGGCTTTAAAGTGGGCTGTCACAGAAAAATTCCATCAGTATCTTTACAGCAACAGCTAAGTTAGATGCCACAGGCCATCGCTGGTTAGCAGCACTTACCAACTACAATTTTTCCATCAAATACAGACCTGGCAAGAAAAGTGGAGATGTCGATGCCCTAAGTAGATTAGGAGATACCAACAGCGCGGAAAAAGATAGATTTATTGAGGTGAACGAAGAGATTATAGGAGCATTGAAAGATATCGAAACTGGCCTAGAATGACAACCGACATTGAAGAATACATCCAACAGTGTCCAAGATGTCTTAGGAGAAAGGCAACAGCAACAACATGTCCTCTAGTGAACATCACATCCAATCAACCATTAGAGTTAGTGTGCTTGGACTATGTGTGTATTGAAGAGTCCAAAGGAGGATACGACAACATCTTAGTAGTTACAGATCATTTTACCAGATATGTTCAAGCCTTTCCTGTACGTAACACCACAGCAAAAACAACAGCGAAAGCGTTTTTTGATGGTTTTATTGTTCACTATGGCATTCCCCAAAGAATTCACAGTGATCAAGGTCAACAATTCAAAGGAAAGATCATCAAAGAATTGTGTCAACTAACAGGTATGGATAAATCAAGAACCACACCCTATCATCCCCAAGGCAATGGACAGTGTGAAAGATTCAACAGAACACTACTCAATATGCTAGGAACGCTGCAACCAGAACAAAAGAGAGATTGGAAGACCTATGTCGCACCACTTGTACATGCGTACAACTCCACTAGGCATTCAGCTACCGGATACTCTCCTTTTGAACTGATGTTTGGCCGTAAACCAACCCTAGCGATTGATGTCATACTTGGACTTGTCAATAATGACGATGAGGGTAAATCCTATAACACCTATGTGGATGACTTGAAAGATAAGCTTGAATATGCATACAAGACAGCTTCTGCAGAAGTTAACAAAGGCCAGGAAACTCAACAGCGGCAGTATAACAACAGAGCCAGAAACATCAAGATAGAACCTGGTGATCGTGTGTTGGTACGACGATTAGCGTTCAAAGAGGGAAGACACAAGATTTCGGATAAATGGGAAGACATCGCCTACAAAGTGCTGAGCCAACCGAATCTGGATATTCCTGTTTACAAGGTTAAAAGTGAAGATGGTGGAAAGCGTGTACGTACTCTCCACAGGAACCATCTTTTACCAATTAGCGCCATACCAGAATGCATATCTCCAACAGCATCATTGAAACATCCAGTAGCTAAACCAAGGAAGACCAGAGGTAATGTTTCAATTAAAACCAACAATGAAGACGATAAAGGGAACAGTTACAGTGAAGAAGATGAAGAACCTGTGTATCTTGTGGTTGAGACAGACTTCCTGCCTCAGGCTAGCTCCACAGCTGATGACACAGGAAGGGAAGATGTTATCGTTCCGGAGCTTGAAGAAGTCCTTCAAGATGGTGTAGAAGAGGGCCAAGTGACACCAGTTTCCGGTGATGATCCATCAGTTGAAGAACCACTGCCACCGTTAGTTATACCATCTGTTCCTGAATCACGTAGGTCTACGAGACAACGAAAACCACCAAGTTGGCAGGCTGAATATGTGCTGGCGCATCAACAGCAGCTTGTTACAGATTTTCAAAGACGTGCGGAGCTGGCAAGATCGTTACTTCCAGCTGACTTCATGTCTTTGCCACCAGACAGACTACGTATAGTTTTAGAGATGTTACCAACACTGTGCCAGAGAATTTTTCCAGAAATATTTCCGAAATAGTTATAAGTTTTATTTTGATTAATGTTGAGGACAACATTTTTAGTTAGCAGGGGAGTATCAATCTGAGACTAGATTAGTACTATAACATACTTGGTGACGAACTTTACCTTTATATGTATGAAACCTACCCTAGATTTGATAGCAATGCCTAATTTTGTATATAAGAAATCTAGACTGGACTTGATATAAGAACCAACCTGGCGCCTATGTATTTAGGATACCGGGGATAGATTTAATATAAATGATCTGGTAAAGCTGTCTATATTTGTATATACATGTACAAACCTTACCGTTGTCTGGCGATTTGTATATTTATATGAAACACAGGAGAAATTGGATATTATAAATTATCTGTTAACAATACCTAAATTAATATATATGAAAATAACCCTAGATTCGATATAACTTACATGATAAAAATACCTATATTTGTATATATCACACCTAAAGAGGTTTTGATATCATAACCTATCTGGTAATAATGACTAACTATCAGTAAATAGATTCGATATTGTAACTTATGTGACAGAGTGATATTTTTAATATATATAGTTGGTTTTTAGTCATTTTAATCTGCACTTAATATAAACTAATAGTGGTTGTACTATCCCTTTAAACCTATTCTATACTATCCACTCTGTACCTGGTCTGTAGTGAGTTCCACTCACCATATCTTCAACTTTAACCTTTCCTATTTGTCTAGTGAGTTGTCGTATGAAAGTTTCCTTGGAGACATTCGTCCTATAGTTTTTATATGCAAAGGAAGACACTTTTCCTCTCCTTAGTTATATAAAGGTTGTTAACTGGTATTGCGTATTTATTAGTATACAAGTGTTGCTAGATGTAAATATTGAAGCTTCTTCAATAGTGGTTTGACAGTTTATTTATCAGGTATGTTTATAATTATATCTATGGAATTAGTCTTTGTTTTAAAGTGGCAGCCATGTTGAATTTCTTTAAAGTATAAGTTGATAGTTTGAAATGGGGAAAGATTACATCATTATATAGTTAAAACATTATTTAAAGTATTTAACTTTAGATATACACTTACAGTCATTTACATCACATTTATATTTCATTTACAGTGTTCCAACGTTTAAAGGTATTTCACCTTTATACCAATTGGTAGTAATTATAAAACCCCTCTTTAGGGTAAGCAATATTAGTTTTATTCTCAAGATCTAATTATTAGTATTAATTAGTATTATTATTATTTACGCTGCGATAATAAGTATATTTCATACTTTTACGAGTATATCTGTATTTCATAGTTTAAGTCACTTAAGAGAAGAGTTACATGTATATTATACATATGATTTTATATTATCGTTATTATTACTTTTAAACCATGCTTTAATACTGTTTTTTATGCATTGTATTTATTATATTACTTGTATATTTGCAGGGTTTCTTTTTATAGTTAATAAAGAATTTTCAAGGAATGAACCCTTGTGTGTGGTCATTTTAGCCCCGGCATTTGACCCCCTTCAACACATACCTGGCAAAAATGTGTGTACATCAAACCTATTATGTAATTATTATTATAACTTACCTATAGTAAGGATGCTTATCTTTGCGCATATGAAACCTGGCCCGGTTTGATAATATAACCTGCCTGGTAACATTGACTAACCTTGAGTAAATATATATGAAATTATATAATATACATGGTAAGAATACCTACACTTGGGTAGATCAAACCTGTTATTGAATTGATATTATAATGTACCTGGTAATAATAATTATCTGAACACAAAATGCCCTAGCATAATTTTAATTATTTTGGTAGCGAAACTTACCTTTTTTTTTACAGGTAATCAATTAGATAACTTTAATTCGATCACCAAATCTACTACATAAAAAGTTGAATTTCGATAATAATATAATCAACGGTAAAACATTAGAGCCCATACAATAGTATCTTGCAAAACAGCAGTAAGATGTCAAATTTAGTATTTTCTTCAAATTTATTTATTCATTTTAAATGGTTCTTCTTTATTGACTGGTATGAAATAATTATCTTATGTAAAAACATTAATCAAGTAGCAACTGCAACAATGACAAATTATATATTACAATTTATTTTAATACATCCAAGTTTAACTCTCTATAACAATGACAATCACATAAAAAATTGTATCTATTAACATTCGCGGCCTCAGGGATAAAATTAAAAGAAGAAAATTTTTCATTTGGTTAAAAGACAAAGCCTTTGATATTATACTGGTTCAAGAAACTCACAGTACATTAGGTGACGAAAAGCTGTGGACCGATGAATGGGGAGGTACAATCATTTATGCGCATGGCAAGAGTAACTCGGCGGGCACCGCCATCCTTTGTGGTTCAAATTTAACGAACATTGACTTCATTGGGCATAATAATGACAAAAATGGTTACTATAATATAGCACGATTTAGCATAGAAGACAAATCATACACAATTGCAAATACATACAGTCCAATAAATGACAGAGATCAAAATGAATATTTCCAAATTTTACAGAACGAAATAAAACAAATAGTTAATAATAAAATTACAACCGTTCTCATCGGAGGAGATTTTAATAACATTCTAGATAAAGAATACGACCGAATGGGTGGAAATTATCGAATTAAAAAGAAAGGGCAGAACCAAATTTTCAAAATCATGAATAACGTTGATCTTATTGATATATTCAGAAACCTTAACCCTCTCGTCAAACAGTTTACGTGGAAACAAAAACGACCCACAATTCACAGCCGAATAGACTTTTGGCTAGTCTCTGAATCTACGATAAATAACATAAAGTCTTCAACAATCATTCCATGTACCTTTAGTGATCATTCTGCAATACAGATATGTCTAAATTTTTGCAAACATAAAGGGGGCCAAAACCTTTGGAGGTTTAATTCTACCCTTATAACAGATAAAATTTATCAGGCATTAATTTTTTCTGAACTAAAAGTATGGAAACAGGAATATTTTAATCCCTCCGATAAGCGTGGACTATGGGACTATGTAAAGTATAAAATCAAACTATGCACGATTAAGTATACAAAACAAAAACAAAAGGTTCGACGAAATTTAAAGGCAGATATTATACAACAATTTGAAAACCTTGATACAAAATTAATAGAAAACGAAGAGTATATGACAGAGTACAATGATGTCAAACACAAATTAAATTCAATTAGACCATAACTTCTTTGATCTTCGGCGTGGTATAACCAACTGAAATGTTAGTTATACCATGACTGGGACTACTTTCTTCGCCCCCTCCCACCTCCTGTCCCAACAAATTCAAATCTAAAGCAGCAATTTTTAATGGCCAAAAATGGCCAAATCGCAATATTAATGCCTTGCTCTAATTTTGATTGAAAGAAATACAACACAATTTCAGTACATTTTTCTTTTTTTAATGTCACATTAACAATTTATATTTAATGAAATATGTACACTCCTCCGTCGTTTACCATCCGAAGTGGTATCTGGATCGTCAGACAGCGGTCGTTTAGATGACTGGACAGTAGTAGACGATGAACTCTGGCCTTGGATCACACTACTAACAAAGGCCTCTTGTGCGGTGTTCGATCGCTTGTATGCGCGTATAGCGTTACTTCTATGTCCTGTGGTCTTTGCTATGAGCTGTTCATCCACACCAGATCTAAACAGGCGAGTCGCACAAGTAGCTCTCAAGGAATGATTAGTGAAGAATCCTGAAAATATAAAAGGTTTCAAATTCATCAATAGTCGTATAGATTCAGAACATATTGTGCGATTCAAATATCGTGGGATAGTATTCTGGTTACTAAAGTCGATCGAGAGAAGGGGGGGGGGTCTATGACAGTATTCTTTCAATTAAGTTATAATTACCTTTAAATCCAGCCGCTTCACATAACCTTGTGACGGTGTTCGCCAGTGTATTCCGGCCAACAGGTGCTGCTGCATACCACATCTTTTCTGTTGGTTTAATCAATGGTCGCAGATATACCATAGACATAGCATGTTCAGGTCTCAAACTCAAGTATTGCTGATACAGCTTCACTATGAATCTTTTAGGGTCGTCACTTCCATATGCCGTCACACACTTGGGATTCACTCTAAATTCTTTCAGTCCACGCTGATTAGTTTTGCTAATTTTCTCTGTATATCTTAGATAAGGTGCCTGTTCATTTTCGCCTATGCATAACTGATCCAAAGTTAAATTACGATGCTCACCACCACTCCGCAAAGCAAAGTTTAATCCAAAAAGATACACAATCGTGTCCAGCAAAGTTTGTGGATTCGAATTTCCTAAAATACCTTGTTTCCACATGATATTTTCTTCATCAATAGAAATTACATCAGCTTGTTTCGTCAATAATCCATTCCCTTTACTGGCACCAATTTTCATAGAGTTGTCGAGAGTATTCCTGAGCTCATTAAAAATCGGATCTGATAACAGTTTAACTGGGCGGCCAATGTTATTCAAGTGCATTTGAATGAGCAAAACCAGTTGGCGTAACGTTTTAGGTGGGTATTCATTGCCATCAGCTTTCCTGGTTTCGACAATAAACCTACTCAAACAATAACTTAGTTCATCATCGTTTAAAAAGTCTAATTCACGTGTTATGAAACTCAGTTGATGACCAGATGTATCTCCTTGTCGGATTTTGTCATTTCTAGCCTTTCTCCAGCTTTCAAAGAGTCGACATGCCCATGATATTGTCTTTTCAGTTGTTCCCGGAATAATTTTCTTCGTCAAAGATGACATCGCATCGTCGGTTATAGGTGATGCGAACCGGGTGTCTACCTCAGCTGGTTTAATTTCCACAGTTTCATCATTATCACTGCTTATATCGCTGTAGATAGGTTTAATCTTTTCATCATTGAAATACATGTTAAAATTGTCCTCTTGTGTTAATAAAGTGTCCGAATACTCCTGGTTAATTACACTTTGAGAAGACACGGGAAAATCGTCGTCACTATCCATTATAAAAAGACACAGAACTGCAGCAAGAAGGAAACCTCTTCTCAAACTGATACACACGAATCTAAGCTCCTATTATACATGCGTACTAACTACTGATCAATGTACTTATTCTTCTTTTAAGTTATGCTCACATTGAATAATCAACGAAAACATGTTCAATAAACATTACTCAGTTGTTAACATAACTTGGCCATAAATAGTGACGTGACGTGACAACAAGTTACACGTGCTGAAATGTCATGTAGGTCATGTAACATACCAATAATCGTCCACAAAAGAAATAGTTCTATGTACAAATCTAAATTAATAAGTTTAAAAGAATATTTTTTTAAACATACGTAGTATATCATAACTGGTTATGGTCTAAACAGGTTAGATTACTCGGTTTCCGTGGTTTAATCGTTTAAAGTGTTAGTTAAACCACGAAGCGCTACCACTCAGCGCTACGCGCTTCGTGGTTTAACTAACACTTTAAACGATTAAACCACGGAACCTCGTAATCTAACCTATACTTTACAACCATGAAGCAGAAGGGTCAATACTTAGGTCAAAATTACAGTACTATACTGAAGGTGACAAAAACACGCAGTTCTTTTTAAATTTAGAAAAACAGACACAGATCTCTACGACAATAAACAGATTGAAATTTAACGATGAATTTATTCAAAATATTAATCAAATAATGGGCGAAATAGAAATATATTACAACAATTTATATTCAGAAAAGGTAACAAAACTATGCGGCATCGAAAAATTTATTGATAAAACTAATCTCTCTCTGCCACAACTTGGGGATTATGAAGCAGACTGTCTCGAGCACAAGCTAGATGACCAAGAGTGTCAAAAGGCGATTAACTCGTTTAAAAATGGAACTTAGCCTGAAACGACGGTTTGACTCCAGAGTTCTACTCCTGTTTTTGGCCAGTAATCAAACATCTTGTTCTGGACTCCCTGAACGAAGGATTTGAAAACGACTCCTTTTCAGTTATCCAACGGCAATCTATCATCAAACTTCTGCCTAAACCCAATAAATGCAAATACGAGTTAAATAACTGGAGGCCCATTACCTTAACAAATGTTGATATAAAAATAGCCAGTAAAGCGCTATGCATTAGATTGAGACCTTTTTTTAGAAAAACTAATTCATCCCAATCAAACGGCATTTGTGCCTGGAAGACATATTTATGAAAATATTAGAATTCTAGACGACTGCTTTTCCCTAGCTCAACAAAGGCGTATTACAGGCTTTCTGTTGGCAGTGGATTTCAATAAAGCTTTCGATTCAATTTCCCATTCATATATGTTTAAAGTATTACGCCATGTTGGCTTCAAAAGAAAATTTATACGTTGGATTAAAACTATGTACACAAACATAGAATGTGCTGTAATAAACAATGGTTACACTACCAAATATTTTCCGATTTTAAGCGGTGTAAGACAAGGAGATCCGATGTCCGCAAATCTATTTAATTTAATTATCGAGACGTTATGCGAATGTATAAGAAACGACGGGAATATCAAGGGGATAAGTTTTGGACAAAACGGTGCTAAAATTGTTGCTTTCGCCGATGATCTTACCTGTTTGCTAAAGGATTTTAAGTCGGGACGTCACTTTCTAGAAGTTTTAAATCAATTCAAGCTGATTTCTGGTCTTTCTGTCAACTACTCTAAAACTGAAGCCTACAATCTAAACTCAAGCAGCAAAAAATTAAATCAGCTTGCAATACATTTCAATTTGACAGTAAATTCTACAGCCATAAAAATATTAGGAATTTATTTCTCATTTAACACAAACCTCCGAAACAAACTTAACTTTGACAATAAACTAGAACACATCAAAAACATGTTAAACAACAAATGGTCTTTCAGAAACCTATCATTAAGTGGTAAAATTATTATTATAAAAATTTTTTGCCTGTCCACACTATCACATCAATTACAATCCTTATATATACCTGACAAAACTATCGATGAATTGAATACGATATTTTACCAATTCTTATGGAATGGTAAGGACAAAATCAAGCGTGAGGTCATATGTAAGGATTATGCTTCCGGTGGTTTAAAAATGGTGAATTTAAAGGAACATATAACATGTAAATCCTTTTTCTGGATAAAAAAAATATTTAGCCAAAAACAGCAGCTTTGGTACGATATTTTCTCTTTCGCTATATCTCCTTATGACCCTCTATTATTATTATCCGGTAACTATGATCAAAAACAGATTACGATATTCTCACCGTTTTATACACAACTACTCTCCAATTGGTTTAAAATATATAACAGTAATATAGATCAACATATACAACTACAAAACCAAGTAATGTACATGAACAAAATTTTAGAAACAAAAGATAACTATAATAAAACCCTAATACAAAAGTATAATATACTATTTGTAGCTGACATAATAAATTCTCCGTTAGAAACATATACACCAAATGAACTCCTGACTGTGTATGGTTATAGGAAATGTATTTCGAACGCATATAAAACAAAATGCTTAAAAATAAATAAAAACACCCTTTTAGACGATAATGGAATCCATAACTGTAACAAAAAAGACAACAAAACAATAATACAAAACGACATTATGAAAAATTTGAAACAATTTTATAAGATGAACCATGAAGATTTAAAACCAAGAGATGTATATTACAAACAAATAAACTCTGACTTCATTAAACCAAACTCGATATACAAATGGGAAGACGAACTTGGATGTACGATTGACGACATCACAACCAAATCAATATTCAAACTGATAAATTTGTCATGTATAGACACAAAAACTAGAATGTTTCAATACAAATACATTCACAGGATAATATACACAAATTCTAAATTATACAAATTTGGTAAAGTGTCTACAACATTATGCGACTTTTGTCAATCAAGCATTGAAACCGTTATTCATCTATTTATTTTCGGCTCTTACTCACAAATGTTATGGAAAATACTTCACAATATCCTGAGTATAAATAACATTTATAGTAATCTTTGTCCCTCTGTAATACATCTTGGCTTATACGAATTGCATGACCACCTACCTAAATTTAAATATCCCAACCAAATACTATTCTTAAATCATGCAATCATATTAACTAAATACTATATATTAAAATCAAAATTATCAGAAAAACTTCCATGTAAAGAAAGTTATTTAGCGTTTCTTTTATCAAGAGCGAATTTAGAACTTAACTTAAATAACGAATCTATCAAAAAATGGGAATACTTAACAAACATCGTCGACCATAGTAATTTATAAACAGGCCAATATTGATAACTAAGCGAATGTAACTGTATTGTGTATGTATAAATATGTTAATATTATTCAATATTATATGTATATTGCTATTATTGTAATTTGCTTATATACCTTTCACTGTAAAAATTATATATCAGTCAATAAAATATTTAAAAAAAAAAAACAAAAAAAAAAATATTATCACATCGAACAAAATATTGCACGTTCGTTACTGTACAATTCTATTCTCTCGCATATTTAATATTTTTAAGTAGTTAAGTCTCTAACTCAGTATCATCAAAAGTCTGACACGTTGAAAACACGAATTATTTGTCAATTCAAATCAACATTGATGTTGTGATCTTACCGGGAAAAGGCAGGCTTCTGATATCCAATATTTAAGACAAGATAAACATTTTATCATTGGTAAACGAATCGTGTACCATAGTGCGTTTCAGCGTCATTTGTAACAAGTGACCAGAAAGAATGAGGCTAGACATATTCCACAACCCATGTCAAACGGTGACGAGATATTTTATCTGGTGAGCATGCGCAATAGACTGGAATAACCAGACGCTAGAAATTGCCATTCGGTTGAGACTCATGCCGTATTTCGCTGGACATAACTAATTTGAAATTAGAGTCAAAACGGAAACAATTGAATGTAAATCAGTTGATATCAAATCTGAATCAGATTACATTATTAAATGCGTTGCGACCCATTTGGATCAATATCTAGGTCCCAAATATTAGCGATTTAGCTCCTTTAATATCTGAAACGTATGGATGATTTGTTATCGACACCGTTATGTACGACTGCAGTTTGTATCCTGGGGAATAGGCTTCAAGCATAGTTAAAAGATTCCGGATCGCTGAACCTATATCAAAACGCAGAGATATGCTCAAGTGCTGTTTTAATTGGAATTCTCTGGAATACAATTATTGTTTTATTACTCATTGAATTGTGTCACGTTTATATCCATTTGCTTAATCACTTTGGAAATATTCATAAATAATAAACTAATAAAGAGATTCATAAACAACAACACGTTTATGTCAGTGAAGTGTGAGGCTTCTTTTCATTCAATAATTCAATAGATAAAAGGAATGAAACACCTAAGGAATATTCATTAACTAGAAAAAGTTATAGTTTGCAATGCAATGATCCCTGGACGTTATCGTGTGCTAGAAAAACAACGCAAGGGTCTACACTGTTTTATTCCAGATGAAATGTCATTTGCTCATTGATTGGATTCTATAGTATGAGTTTATCACTATTTTTATGATCAACGACTTGAAATCCTAAATTAGTCAGATTAACCGAGCCTGTTATTATATAACAGATGAGATGTCTACGATATTCGAATATACACTATCATTACTTTGTTTCTGTGGTCTCCTATTAACTGTATCAAGTAATGGGCTTTGTGTTGGGCATCACCTCACACCAAGACAAATAGCTGGATTTACAGAAACAGGACCTTACCACAGTACCTTGACATCACTACCTATAGATAAGTTAATGTTTTGTCTCGGCGAATGTATATATTATGATGATTGTGATATGGCAGTGATGTGTAATATAATGGACGGAACGAAATTGTGTTTTCTGGTCACCGGTAACGTGCTGAACTTCACTCTATCAACTTATAATTACACGGACTGTCAGGTTATTACCACGGTAAGACAATAAAATACATTCATCATGTTAAGTTTTGTTTTCAGGATTTTGTCTTTAGACTTCTATATTCATTTAGTTTATTCACAATTTCACATGGTTGATATATATCAGTGAGATTCCTTTATTTATACTTGAATACTGTTGGACTTAAATATGTTTAAAGGTGTGCAGACCTGTAGAAAATGAAATCGGGGAACCATGCTGGTTTAAATCATTGATAGCGATAAAATGGATTCAATAGAATCTAAAACTACAGGCTGCAGTCCCGCCATGAAACTATTC